CATTCGCGGATAGGAACCGCCCGGGGGCGGATTGAGGGGGGAGTAACAAGAGAACCCAGGAAGGGGTTGAAGGTCAGATGACTCCGGGGCCCGGGAAACTGAACAAAGGCTGTGGGAGGGGTCGCTGAAGGCAGTGTGCTGGAAGCGGGCTGGAGAGATGGCTGGGAGACAGAGATGGCTCTGACCCCCCCCAAAGGGGGGCGGGCTGGGATGCCCTGGGACCCCAAGCTGGACTTAACTGAGGGGGTCCTGTTGTCTGTGCCTGCAAGACCTGTCTTGGACTGTATTCCTGTCATCCAAATAAACCTTCTGCTTTACTGGCTGGCTGAGAGTCATGGTGAATCCCAGGAAGCCGGGGGTGCAGGGCCCTGAGTCCCCCTATACTCCGTGACACGGGGGTCAGAAGCAGGGGGCACAGGGGTGAGGCCCAGCAGAGAAGGGCCTGTCCCCACAGCTCGTCAGTGGCGCAATGGGATCGTTAGCCACGTGTTACAGGTGGGGAAACTGAGGCATGGGATGGGTATTGTGCTTCTTGCATGGTCACCCGGAAGGTCAGAGGCGGAGCCAGGGAGAGAACCCAGGAGTCCTGGCTCCCAGCCTCCCCGCTCTAACCCACCAGCCCCCACTCCCCTCCCAGCGCCAGGCAGAGAACCCAGGAGTCCTGGCTCCCAGCCTCCCCGCTCTAACCCACCAGCCCCCACTCCCCTCCTAGAACTGGGCTAGAACCCAGGAGTCCGGGCTCCCAGCTGGGCTGCGGAGGGAAGACCTGCGGAAGGAAGGGGGCTGGTAGAATCCAGCCGGGTGCCCCCAGGCTGTCGAGGGGCCCTGGCCGGCCGGCCCCCCGGGCTGACCTGTGACGACGTCGGTGGAGATGGGGCCGAGGTGCTTGTGGCCGGAGATGCCGTAGAGGTTGAACTGGTACTTGCGGGAGGGCAGCAGGTCGGAGACGACGAGCGTGCGGGATCCCCCGTCCACGGGCAGCGCCTGGGGTTTGCCATCCGCGTCCCGGTACTGGAGGAGGAAGGAGTCGAAGGCCCCGGCCTGGATGGTCCAGGAGAGGCGCACGGAGTCTTTGGTGACCTCGGAGGTTGAGAGCTCCCCCAGCTTGGGCTGCGTGGCACCTTCCTCCTCCTCCTCCTCGTCTTCCTCCTCCAGCCGGCCTGGGGAGAGGGGAGCGGCTCAGACCCTGCCCGGACCCCACGTCTCCAGACCCCGCCCCGTTCAGAATCGGGACGAAAGCTGCCAAACGTTGGTAAATGCCCCAAGGGCCAGGCGCTTTGCAGGTGGCTTGGCTGCTGCTGGGACGCGCCAGACCCCACCGGCTCTGGGGCCGTGGCGCCGGCAGGAGGGTGGATCAGAGCCAATCGCGGCCGGCGGCATGGAACAGGGAGGGGAATTAGCCGGCCGGACAATCCCGACAGGCCAGGCCGGACTCTCCGTCCCTGGCTCACGTGAAACCCACCCGGGCTGTTTCCGGAAGAGCTCGCGCTGGGCCAGGGCGAGGGCCAGCGCTACGCGGCTCAGACCGGGATCCCGGGTCCCTTCGCCGAGCCCGGTTCCCGGCCAGCGCCTCGAGAGGCGAATCGGCATCTTCCCGACGCAAAGCGCGTCCCTCGGCCCCTGCCCCCGCCCCACGAGGCACAGAGACGGAGAGAAGGGGGCGATTCTATTCCATCATGCACCTGCCGAAGGGGGGACGGTGGGAGGAGAGAGGGGGAATTCCCCAGCGCTGACCTGTGACGGCGTCGGTGGAGACGGGGCCGAGGCGCTTGCGGCCGGAGATGCCGTAGAGGTTGAACTTGTATCTGTGGGAGGGGGCCAGGTTGGTGACGGTGAAGGTGCGGGATCCCCCGTCCACGGGCAGCACCTGGGGGTTGCCGTCCGCATCCCGGTACTGGAGGATGAAGGAGTCGAAGGTCCCCTCCTCCACGGACCAGGACAGGTCGAGGGAGTCGTGGGTGCTGTCGGAGGCCGAGAGCGGCCCCAGGCGGAGCTGTATCCTGGGTCCCTCATCCCGCGGTGCTGCGGTTGGAACAGAGGGGGAGGGTTAAGGGTGAGGTAACCGCATGTGGGGCAAACAGAGGCAGCTTCCCCCACTGCCAAGTGATGGGCTTAGGCTCTCTGCAAACTCAGGCAGTGTCACCTTTGAGGTCCAGGGCAAGTGGCCCCTCAAGTGACTGATGGAGACAAGATCCCTCGGATGTGGCCTCTGGTGCCGTGATTGCACCAAGCAAAGTGATGTGGAAGAGGGTGGCTGGGAGTGAAGGAACGTGGAAGGGGCCCTGGCAGAGGAGGGGCCAGACAGAGGAGTGGTGGGAAGAGAGGAGGAGTGAAAAAAAGAAAAGAAGGGGCAAAGGGAGACAAGGAGGGAAGGAAGAAGGATCCCGGAGGAGGAAACGCTGCGCAGGGCTGGGAGAAGCAGGGGTGTGGGAAGGCAGCGGCAAAGCAAAGCACTGGGGGGCGGGGGGTCCTGGGAAAGACTTGGTGGAGGAAGGAGGCAGGCATTGGATGAGACCCTCCCCCTGGCAGCTGCTGACCTGTGGTGGCGTCGGTGGACACGGGGCCGAGGCGCTTGCGGCCGGAGATGCCGTAGAGGTTGAACTTGTATCTGTGGGACGGGGCCAGGTTGGTTACTGTGACTGTGCGGGATCCCCCGTCCACGGGCAGCGCCTGGGGTTTGCCCTCCGCGTCCTTGAACTGGAGGAGGAAGGAGTCGAAGGTCCCCTCCTCCACGGTCCAGGAGAGCTGGGTGGAGTCGTGGGTGATGTCGGAGGCCGAGAGCTCCCCCAGGCTGGGATGGGTGGCGGGTTCCTCCTTCTGCAGCGCTGCGGCTGGAACAGAGAGAGGGGGTGAAGAACACGGCCGGGGTGGCGGGCAGCTCGCCGGGTCCTTGGGGGGCAGGTAATTCCTAGCCAGAGGGGATCTGCAGAGAGGAATAGTGGGGGGGGGGGTAGAGAGCCCCAGGGACCGGCCCCAGGACAGTGACGGATCCTGCTGCCGGGAAGGAGAGCTGGGGACAGACAGACGGACGGGGCATGTCTGCAAAGAGGATCCCACATTCCCAGGTTCCCACGGCCACCTGCCTCCGTGGAGGGGTCGGCCCAGAGCAACAAACCTCAGTGAGAGCTGAGCTGAGACGGGAGGAGACGGGGGAAGGAAGAACAAACGAGAGAGAAAGAGAAGGGGGTGAACCAAAGCCTCCAACGTCAATGGAAAGATCTCCAGTGACACCCATCCAGCCCCAGAAACACCCAAACCACCATTTTCATACGCTCCCCACTGCCATCCATCACCCATGGCCAGCCATATCCATCTATCCAGGCATCCATGACCTTACCCAGCATAGCCCTTGTACCTCCCCCTGCAAAAGGGTTCCCAGACACGCACATGTCTGCCATGCATCCCCCCAAACACCCATCCAGTTCTGTAAACTCCATCCATCCCCATCCCCATCCATCCATGTATCCGTCCGCTCCATCCCCATCCCCATCCCCATCCCCATCCCCGTCCATCCATCTCCTTATCCATCCATCCATGTATCCGTCCGCTCCATCCCCATCCCCATCCGCATCCATCCATCTCTCCATCCGCTCCATCCCCGTCCATCCCCATCCACATCCGTTCATCTCCTCATTCATCCATCCCCATACACATCCATCCATCTCCCCATCCGCTCCATCCCCGTCCATCCCCATCCACGTCTGTTCATCTCCTCATCCATCCATCTCTCCATCCGCTCCATCCCCATCCAGATCCATCCATCTCCTTATCCATCCATCCCCATAAGCATCCATTCGTCTCTCCATCCCCACCCCATCCATCCATGTATCCGTCCGCTCCATCCCCATCCCTATCCCCATCCCCATCCATTCATCTCCTTATCCATCTATCCGCCATCCATCTCCTTCTCCATCCCCATACACAGCCATTAATCAGTCTATCCATCCATGAGATCCCCTCCCTCCCTCCATCCATCCCCACCGATTTCCATACACAGACATCCATCTATCTATCTATTCATGCATTCATCCATGCACCCCATACACATAGATCCATCTCTCTGTCTGTCTATCCACCCATCCATCCCCATCCAAACTCCTCTATCTATAGAATGGCCGGTAGACAGGTCATGGAGGTTGGAGCCTGGGAAGCGCCTGGCGGCTGCTGTCCCAACCCCACTGCAAATCAAAGGGGGCGGGAGGGGAAGGGGCTGGCACCCCAGGAGCTGCTGCTGACCTGTGGTGGCGTCGGTGGAGACGGGGCCGAGGCGCTTGCGGCCGGAGATGCCGTAGAGGTTGAACTTGTATCTGTGGGACGGGGCCAGGTTGGTGACTGTGACTGTGCGGGATCCCCCGTCCACGGGCAGTGCCTGGGGTTTGCCCTCCGCGTCCTTGTACTGGAGGATGAAAGAGTCGAAGGTCCCCTCCTCCACGGTCCAGGAGAGGAGGGTGGAGTTGTGGGTCACACCGGAGGCTGAAAGTTTCCCCAGGCGTAGCTGCGTCCCGGCTCCCTTGTCCCGCGGTACCGCGGCTGGAACAGAGAGAGGGGCACGGTGTGTGGGAACGCCTGGACAGGCAAATAGAGGCAGCCCCTGCCTGCTGGAGCAACGGGCGCAGGCTCTCTGCAGACCCAGGCAGTGTAGCCCTGGGATCGGAGCAGGAGGGCCACCCCGGTGGGGTGGGACTGATGGAGTAGAGGGCGTAGTGGGAGCAAAGCCCTCCAACACTGAGTTCCTCAGGGAAAGGGGCAGAGACGTGGCTCGTGGAGCAGGGCAGGTGTGCGGGTTGGGGGAAGGAAGGAGCGATTGGTGGGGTGTAGGAAAGGGAGAAGGAAATTGCAGGAAAGGGGTGGGAGCAGATTTGTATGACCCTCCCCCTCCACCTCCCGAGGGGCTTCCCAGCTCCTGGAGCCCCAGACCGAGTCTCTGGGGGCCCTGCCCAACGGACGGCAGCTAACCCCGAGCCCAGCCCCAGGCCTGGTGTGGGGTGGGCACAGAGGGACTGGCCGCCCCTGCTGGGCTCTGGGGAGGCGGCTGCGTGGGGCAGGTGACCTGGACTGGCAGCCCGGGGGCAGGGCCCAGCCAGCGAGGGGACGGGC